GCCAGCCTGGTCTACAAAACAAGATCCACGACACAGGACAACCAAAACTGTTACACAGAGAAATCCTACCTCGAAAAAGCAAAGTCAGGTAGGAAGGAAAGAAAAAAGAAAACTGAATTTCCTCATCCTCATTCCAGCAACTATCAATTGCCAATAACTCTTCTGCTAGAGGTGGAACTTCATGTCTACAGCCTACCTACCTACCCCACATCCTTCATACTGACTCTGTATGGCTTGAGTTTGTGCGGGTCTCATACAATCTGCCATAGCCACTGTTCACATATACAACTGCCCTGCTGTATGCAAAAAAACAGTTTCAATGTAATTATTCACCACCCTGACTCTTACACTCTTTCCTCCGCTTCCTCCACACCCTGAGCCTTGAGAGGCAAGTGTATGATATGATTTAGATGTCCCATTCTGAATGCTTTAAATAAGAGACCTTGGGCACTTATGGATCTCTTTATTAATCACTGTCCACCACAAAAAGAAGCATATCTGATGATGGCTGAGAGGTACACTAATCTAAGTGTACAACAGTAAGTCATTAAGATTTGTTTTAATACTATACCCATTTAGCAGAATAATAGTAGTTGGTTTTCCCCTAAAGCCTAGCTACAGGTTCTTGAACCCATAGTGATGTCAGATATCAGTTTCATTTTGTGGAGCAGGCTTTACGTCCAATCAGAAAGCAGCTGGTTACTCCCAGGCACTGGTGGGCATGTCTTAACAGGCTGGTTGTTACCATAGCTCTCAGGAGTCACAGCTGGGTAAAGCTGATGACTATTTTTCTCTTCTAGTAGCATGGAAACCACCTTGCAGCACTGTGAAAGTTAGCCAGTGGGATGAAGCTCCCAGGTAAGTACCAGCTTGATCTCTCAATGTTCTAAGAGGTATCTTCAGGGTCTTACCATCAAATTCTGGAGAAGCACATCAACAATAACCTATAATGTTTGGAAGTCTACAGGGTAACATTTAGTCACTGCTAGTAGGAGTACAAACTGGTGTGGCTAACATGGAAATCAGTCTTGGTTTCTCAAAAACCAAGATACAGATCTACTATATGACACAACTATACCATTCCTGCATATAAATCAAAGGATTCTATATCCTACCGAAGAGATACTTGCTCATCCATTTGCATTGCTGTTCTATTCACAATAGCCAGGAAACAGGAATGACCTAGATGTCCAACAGTTCATGAAAGGGTAACAAAAATATGGTACACAATGGACTATTATTCAGCTGTTAAGAAAAATGAAGTTATGAAATTCACAAGTAAATGGAAGAAGCTACAAACAACCATCCTGAGCGAGGTAACCTTGACTCAGAACAACAAACATCATATGCTTTCGTTCACTTCGGGATGTTAACTTTGAATCTTCACATATGTGTATTTCATAGAGGTCATGAATCAGTAAGGGGCCATAGTGCTGGGAGGGAACTGTTAAAAGAAGTGAGATAGAACACAGTAGAATAAAGGAAAAAAGGAGAATGAATGAACAGAAAGGGTTAAATTGGGGTATGGGTTGCAGGGTAAAGAGGGATAACTAACACTAAAGACCCTCAAATCTGTACAAGCTTCCTAAAATGCATATACACACACATATAAAAAGAGTGTAAGTGGATTTATTCCATAATGGGCTGACAATGCCCCTACTAGATAACATGGGCTAGCACAAATAAAAAGCCCAGTGCTAGGCCTGGCGGTGGTGGCACACGTCTTTAAACCCAGCACTTGGGAGGCAGGGCCAGGCAGATATAGGGGGAAATGTAAAAGAGAGGCAGAACAAGAAAGTCACAGAAAGCAAGTAACCTTGCTTTTAAATACGATATGAAGATCACTAAGGAGAGAGGTGTATAAAATAAAAGAACAAGGCTACCTTAAAAGAAAAGTCAAAAGTTGTCAGTCATGGTGGCTCATGCCTATTGTATCAAAATGCCTTGCCATCTGTATTAGTTCTTTGTCTCCTTGTTGTGACAAAATGATGGGCATAAACAACTTAAGGAAAGACACATTTATCTTGGATTATAGTTCTAGGGGATATATTCAGGGACAGTATGGCAGCAAGAGCAGGAGGCAGTATGTCACCCTACATGTAGTCAAGAGTCTCTTGACTCTTGAAGATGTGCTCAGTTCACTTTCTCCTTTCTATTCAGAAAGAGTGACCCCAGTCCATAGAATGATGCAACCCATTTAGGGTGGGTCTTTCGACTTCAATTAACCTAATCTAAATAATCCCTCAAAGAGATGCCCAGTTTTGTTACCATGGTAATTCTAAATCCTAGTAAAGCTGACAATCAAGATTAACCATTATAAATGAAATTACTATTTTTGGCTAGTACTCTCAAAGAGAAATTTCTTAATATTCAATAATACAGAATAATAGACCCTCAGCAGTAAATTTAGAAACCAACTCATCACAATCTATCAGAAAGATGCTAAATTGCTTGAGATATTTCATGGTAACAATGCTGAGGGTTTTATATAATGTATAAATGAAATGGATACTACTAATAATAATTTATTAGCATTTATGGCTTGTTTAAAATGTGTCAGATACTATACCAGCTCATGTTTCACCCATTCTCACTCATTTGATTCTCCCTACAAAGCAGACAATATTACTCTTATTATACAAATAGAACATTGATGCCTCCTGAAATCAAATAGCCTGGGAAGCCATACAAGTCTAACCTGGCAGTCTGTCTTAATGATTTTGTTCTATTGCCTTGCTGGAATCAACTTGCCTTGAAATATTCTAAGCCAAAACATAGATTGAACAAAACTCAGCATTATCAATGACAACTTAACTTGTTTTAATTTGACTATCTCAGAAAGTACTTTTAAAAACAACAGTAACTACTTCATATGGCTTACAAGTACCTGCAGAGCCCACCACAAAGTGGTAGATGGCCACCTGTTTATGTGACTAAGTTCTAAAGTAAAACAACTGCTTATCGCTGGATTCCCAAGAACATCCTAGCCTTACTTCTCATCCAGGCACAGTGGGAAGAAGAGCTCTGCGGACTATGGGCCAGACAGAGTATTCACTGGTGACAAACAATTAGAAAGTCTTACATCCCATAATGATTCATACTTCAAGAAGCTGACAGGTAACATCTGTTAATAAATATGTTCTGCCGGGCGATGGTGGCGCACGCCTTTAATCCCAGCACTCGGGAGGCAGAGGCAGGTGGATCTCTGTGAGTTCGAGACCAGCCTGGTCTACAGAGCTAATTCCAGGACAGGCTCCAAAGCCACAGAGAAACCCTGTCTCAAAAAAAAAAAAAAGTTCAAATATGTTTCAAATATTGTATATAATTTGTTTTTAAAATTCCTAATTTCTTAAAATGTCAGTATGCTGCCAAGTACCTATTATCTATTTCACAAAAACCAGTTAACTATAGTTCTGATGGGAAAATTATGCTCTAAAATGTACAACTACCTGCCTCAGATAATCTGTTATTCAAATTCTCTCAATGGTCTTTATTAAAATATTTCCAAAGAACCAGAGTGTCTAATGAGTCTTTTTTTTATTTAAAATGAGCCATTAAAAAGTACACATCCTTTGTCTTCAATTTTTATCCTCTATAAGTATTTACAAGTGCAATTTAAATATTTAATTTACTCATCATTCTTTCTTAAGAAAGAGCATGTCATTTAATTACCACATCTGCTACAGAGATGCTAGTAAGAACACTGTCTCATATGAAGTATTCAAAAGTTCTCCTTCTCTGATCTAATTTGTATGGTTTCTCCCCCGAGGTTTTGAAAATACTCAAAGAATAATATTTGCTTGTATAGCCTTTACCAACAATAACCTCAGAAGGTAATTTTAAGACAGAACTAAATCAACTATACTTGACTTTATAGCCTAAAAGTCTTTACAAATTCTGTTACCATAGCCCATAACCACGTAGGTGTATCTTTTCTAATTCTGAGGTATGTCCGTGTATCACTGAAGTCCCCCAAATACCATTGTCCTCTGTATCTTTGAGCTCTGCATCTGAAGCCTTTTATCAACTACAGACTGAAAATAGGAGGGAAAACCACATCTGTACAAAACATAGTATTATTGTGTGCATGCATGAGCATTCATCCACTTCCTTTTCCTGTCATTATTCCTTGAACAAAATAGCTTATCTAAGGGTATCTAAGTGGTACCCAATACTGTAAGTAACAAGGAATGATTTCAAGCATGTGCAAGAATGTGTATAAATAGATATGTGCAAATGTTATTCCACCTATTAAAAGCACCCGAGCATCAGTGGGTTTGGCTATCTAGCAGGCATCCTGAAAATAATCTTTTGTGATACCAAAAGATGGCTGTGTATTGATATATTCAGAATGTCTTAATGGCAATTTCAAAGGGCATAATAAAATCAGTAAGACCAATAAAAGTAACTGTTTTTACATGTGCAGCTAACCTGAAGGATTAAAAAGTAAGACTTTAAAGATTTAGAACTGTCACCATGGAAGAACAGCAAACTCATACAATTGTAAATTTATCTGTGACAAAGCTAACTGCTCTCCACAAACCAAAACTGGACACAACAGCACTTTCTCATTGGACTGTCATCTACTACTAGCCTCCTCCTGCACCCCAGGAACACTTCTAGACAGAAGAGACAGTCTTCCTGTCAGTTTTCAGGCAAGAGGAGGGTTTTCCCTTTATCTTTACTCAGACTCCCTCTACTGGCAGGAATATTAAACTAATAGAGGCAAATTTCACCAACTCAAATAAAACATTTTTAAAAACTGTGAAATCAACATTTTAGAACAAAAAGAAAAAAGAAAAATGGATTTGAAACTGACTACCACAGACTCAACAGGAAATTAACATCAGTGAATTAATAAGTGAAATAATCCAAATTTTAATATGACATATACCATTTCAGCATGTATTTTAATATTAATCCTTAGACACAAGAAAGATTAAGTATTTTAAAGTTATTCAAAATACATTTTTAATAATTTCTTTTTAAGTAATGTTTACCTGTATCTGTTCTGGCGTCCATTGGTCTAAATTGACTGACTTGACCCTGGATATATGAACCCCAAGATTTCTATGAATTCCAGCACATCTGATGCAAATAAACACACCAATATTCCAGGAAGCCCATCGGGGACCTAATTAAGAAAAAAAAAAGGAAAAACTAGTATTAGAAACTAAAACATCCTGACTGTACACTAGTTGCATTCTAGTTCATAAACAGTTGTTAATAGTTATAGAAATCACATGCTCAAGTTTCTTTAAATGATACTGGCAACAGTTTCACAGAATGCCATGCCAGACCTGCACTAAAAGGTTACAAACCAATCTTTAAGAACCTTAGTCAAGACTGGGGAGATGGATCAGTGGGTAGAAGTACTTGTTATCCATGCATGAGGACCTGAGTTCAAATCCCCAAGCATCCACGTAAAATTCCAAGCATGGCAGTGTATGCCTATAACCACAGCATTGGAGGACAGAGCCAGAAGATCCATGGACAGCAAGCACCCTAGCCAAAACTGTGCGCTTCAGATTTAGTGAAAAACCCTGTCAAGACAACATGGTAGACAGGGACCCATTGGGAAAATACCAGACAATATTCTGCTCTGGCCTCCACAGAAGCACACAAGAGCATGCACACCCATATTTATTGTATACATCACATGCACAGAGAAAAGAACTCTAGTCATTCTACTGGTCTTGCTTTCCTGGCAATGTTTCCCTAGAATTTAAAACTAATTAATTCAAACAGTTTTCACTATGCATATTTGAACAGCAGTTATATACCTCAATGAAAAATTCCTTATTAACTAAGATAATAATTAAAATGTTAACTAAATCAAATAAAGGTTTTGTTTGTTTTTTGTTAGACAGGGTCTCATTTAACAGTTCATGGCTAACCTCAAACTTGTGACTGTCTTGTAGCATCTTGAATAGTTAAGATTCCAAGGGCAGAACACTCATTTTTCAAAAAGTGTAAATATTTCTGTGAATGGTATGCAGGCCTATAATTCCAAAACTTTGGAGGCTCAGGCAGAAGGCTCACAAGTTCAGGGTCAGTCAGTCTATGGTAAATAGCATGATTATATCTAAATAAAATGCAAATATCAGTAAGAAAGGACAAACAGAAAAAAACAATGAGTGGATAAAAACAAGTGGGTACTTGAGAGAAAAAAATGTTTATCCAAGAAATATGAAAATAAGCACACGCTCAAAATGTTCTTTAAACTACAAGGGCCTCAACTGTGCTCTAATACAGTGGGGAAAAGTGCTTGCAATAACAAAAACAAGACTGCCTCAAAAAGCCTTGTACCCAATGATGAATCTCAAAAGTATCAGATTTTAGAATGTTTTAAAAGGAATACAGAGTATTAAACCACTTGTGAAGTTGAAAATATGCAAATATAACTTGGAGTAACTGAAAGCTTCTACACCTCTGAGGTAGGATCTGGTAATGAGAAAACAGGGTGTGATCAGAGAAAAATATCTGGGAATGATATGCAGGCCTGGAGGGCACTGGCTATTCTGTGCTGCTGAAGGTGGTAAGAAGACAAGTGTTTGTTTCACTAACACTTAATGCACATATAAAAGCTGACGTTCTACACACTGAACCTGATAGAAGAGAAAATGAGAAGTAGTATACAACACATGGGCACAGGAGACCACTTCCTACGTATAACCCCAATAGCACAGACAATAAGGGCAACATTGAATAAATGGGACCTCCTAAAACTGAGATGCTTCTGTAAAGCAAAGGACACTGTCATTAAGATAAAGAGGCAACCTACTGATTGGAAGAAGATCTTCACCAACCCCGCATCAGACAAAGGTCTGATCTCCAAAATATATAAAGAACTCAAGAAACTAGACCGTAAAAATCTAATCAACCCAATTATAAAATGGGGCACTGAACTGAACAGAGACTTCTCAACAGAAGAAGTTCAAATGGCCAAAAGACACTCAACCTCCTTAGCGATCAGGGAAATGCAAATCAAAACAACTTTCAGATACCATCTTACACCTGTAAGAATGGCTAAAATCAAAAACACCAATGATAGCCTTTGCTGGAGAGGATGTGGAATAAGGGGAACACTCATCCATTGCTGGTGGGAATGCAAACTTGTGCAACCACTTTGGAAATCAGTTTACTGTATGTTTTACCTAGGATTCTGTGCCAACACTAGCTTTAATTCTGCAGTTCCTGGACTGACAACAAGAATTCTGTCTTTCTGTTGAGTTCCCAAGATGCCCATGACGTCATTCAATGACCACATTTTTGAAAAGCAAAATCCTAAAAGTCTTCAAACATTCAGCACACAATAACCACATATAGAACTCACCAAGCCATAAGAAATGTGTTCCAAGACACAGACACTGACTACTACATGCATATTTCTTACACACATTTGTTTATTTAGGCAGATCAGGAATACCCAACCTTCCAAAATGGTATTTTGCAAAGGGTTAAGCATTATTAGCTAAAGTCCACTGAAGAATGTTGATTTCATGTTAAATCTGTATGGTAAGTAGCCCTTGATGTTTTTCCTACTTAAATGACTAAAGTTACTTAGGCATGAATTGTTGGGCTGGCTGACTCAAATCTGTCAATCCTTTCCCTGTCCCTTTGGATGCCATGGGGAACAAAACCAAGTAACTATACCAGATAGGGCAAAGATGTGAACCAGAAATGAGCCAACTCTGCTGTCTGTGGTTCCTAAGTACAGTGGGACTCTGCATGATACTTCTACCATGCTTAAAGGTATACTTCATTGGCAGCACACACATCTTCAGCCATGCCATTCTGCAAAATATGTGGGAGCTTTCAATCAAGCAGCCACTTCCCTGGAGATTTCTGGAGTTGTACAGAGGAATGTTATGGCTGCTCAGGGACCATTTCCTCAATACAACTACCAATACAAGAAGGAGGCTTCACACAGCAGAACCCTCCAGGAGGTTTCCTTCCAAGTACTGACAACACAACTGTGATGGATGCCATTCAAGCCACAAGAAACTGTTCTAGTCACAGCCACTCCACATACCAGTCAAGTCATGGAATCAACTTAGGTATCAGTCCATCTGTGGGTAAGAAATAGTAATTTGATTTAAGGCCCACTCCATGAGATGGAACCCATATCCAATACTGCTTGGGTTATGAAAAACTTGAGACCAGGGACCTAAGGAAAAATTAAAACCAAAATAACCCCTACAGGCATTCTACTATACTCTTAGATCAGTACCTTGCTCATCCATCATCAAAGAAATTTCCTCAGGCAAAAAAAGGGGAATAAATACAGAGACCTACGTCCAGACTATAGGCAGAGAGTGGGAGACGTCAGAATACTAAAAAAGGGGTGTCTCCCTAAAATTCCTCCCCCTCAGAGCTCAGGGGAACCCTGCAGAGAGGAATGTAAGAGCCAGAGGGGAGAAAGGATACCAAAGAAACAAGAATTCTAAACACAGCAGGACCAATACAATATAAACTCAGAGACTGAGGCAGTATACAAAGGCCTGCCTGCATGGGTCTACATCAAATTATAGTGGTATATTAGTGTTTTAATAAATAAAGCTTGCCTGAAGATAAGAGGGAAAAGCAGCCATACCAGTCAGCCATATAGGCCAGGGAATGGTGGCACACACTTTTAATCCCAGGGTTCAGAAAACAGAAGCAGTTGGATCTCTGTGAGTTCAAGGCCACCCTGGGCTACGCAAGGTTGAATCTATCTAAAAAAGAAACAGAGCTCATACAAAAGTAATCCCAGCACTTGGGATCCCACACCTTTAATGCCAGCACTAGGGAGGTGGAGACAGGAGGAAAATTGCTGGGTGGAAAGAGGAATATAAAAAGGAAGAGACAGGAACTCAGTGTGGTGTAGAATTTGAGAATTCATGGAGACAATATCCTGTCCCTTTGGTCTGAAGACTTGGTAGAGGTAAAATGGCTCTCTAGTGGTTGGCTGCTTTGCTTTTCTTATCTTCAGGTGAAGGAGCAGAACAAACTCCATTTTGAGAAAGAATTCCATTTTAGACAGGGCCAAACTGAGGAGTGAATGCAGCCCCAGCAAAGTCATAAACATTTCCAAGAAACTGTGCCTGCCCTGGTCAAAGTGACCCCAATAGGGTATCCAAACAACATCTGCTTGCTTCAAACATCCTTGTAGCTATCTGATTAATCAATGTTTTAAAATTTTTGTCTGCTGATAGCCACTGTTTTTGAAATCCCCCATACCACAACCAACGAATTAAAAGGTTGTATGCCTTTACCCAATCCTGAAACACCAAGGCTTGTGCTACCCTGCTTGCAGTTTTTCCCTTTAAAAACCCCTTACTCTGAGGGCTAGGGGCTGTTTTCCTCCACCTGTTGTGCTAGTGTGTTGGATTACAATGCATCGGATCCTGGCTCTGTGGTGGTCTTGTTTTGGGGTTCTATGTGATGCGGGTACAACACAGGTTGAACCCCCATATCTGTCTCTGTGTTTTTATTATTCATGCTACACCAGATGGGGTCCCAGAGCCACCTGTGCATCCCATTGTATGTAAGAATCATTGTTTCCTTTTTTCTTCTTTGAACATTTATTTTCTCACAGGAATACAGAAGAATTCTAGTCACTTGTAAGGATTAGGCCTGTCACAGACTGGGGTGGGATTTGGGGTGGGAGGAAGAAGTGACTGACAAAGAACAGTTCAGCCAAGGAAAATGGATTTCTGAAAAGCTTTACTATAATTTCAAGTTATTAGTTTTTGCTTGTCATAAAATTAAAAAAAAAACCCGTGCTCAATTTCCACTTAACTTCAACACTAGCAATGGTGATTGAAACTTTTTTTTTAAGAGAGGCGAGCATGGACACCAAGGAAGGCCAGAATGTTAACCATTTTCTTGTAACAAGAAAAAGGGGATGTGTGCTTCTGAGATGGTCAGTAGGTGCTTGTTTGTCCAAATCCAAACTTTGGTGAACTTGATATCCTCATTTCTTGAGTGCAGCTGTTATGGGATAAATATCTTCGTTTTGTTACTATCCTCAACTGCTCATCTTCTCACAGCATGATAAATTCTTAGCCAAATCTATCCTCCTTCCCATTAGTCTATGGTTCTTCCCGCCCCTTTTGCTAAAGATAAGATTCTTTTCTCATACACTCTATC